GAATCTGGGTAGAGATATAGAAGGAGGGGAGGGGGGTGGAGAGGTTTGGGAAAAGGAGGCTTTTTTTTATTGAGAGGTGGAGAGGAGATAGGTATCTTAAGGTTTGAGGGTGTAGGAGTGGGATAGGATCTGGTAGAAGATGGGGTGGGTATTTGGATTGTTTGGTGCAATAGGTAAGGTGTGAAGTAAGAAGAGGCATAGGGGAAGTTAAGGATATTGGAGTGTCTGGATTTGAAATGAGAAAATGATTTGACTGGCAGATAGGGGAAGTTGAGGAGCAGGGGGAAGTGATGCTGAAGATGTAGAGACTACTTGGGTAAAGTGGATAGGAGTGGACTGCAGTAAAGTATTAGAGTAGGGAGTGATTGAAAAATCGCGCATCTTGTAGAGTGAGGCCGAGGTTATATCTGAGAATTGCTACTTCACTCCCTAATTTGTAGGCAATGCAGCCTCTATAAAATGAATTACGGGGTCCACCATAATTAGCACATGTACGTGATTGTGCAGGGCAGTTTGAACGGAAATGACCAGGTTGGGGTATATAGTGGTCAGCAGGCTGTGGAGCGACAGTGCTTTGCATTGTGGCCAAAATGCCAGCATTTCTGAGATTGACGGGGTGGGGGTTGATATGGTCTAACAGGACAAGATACCCCTCCTTTATAGACCTTATGGATAAGGTCGTGTCTACGAAAGGTAATCTTGGAAATATTGATGCTGGACTTGCGATTGCCTCTGGGAGGAATAGTGTAGCCTTGTACTGATACAACATTGTATCCAGTGAGGCAGGCAAGAAGGTCGTTTTCACACTGACCATTTTTTCCGTAGACAAGACAGTCAGTTGAGTAGATGGAAGAAGTTCCAGTACATGTATTAAGGGAGGGGTGAAGTTGGACAGGGGTAGGTTTGCCAGTAAGGTCAACCAGGGTCTCAGATGTAATTGTGATTTAGCGTGAGCAATCAGGACTACTGCAGAAGGAAACTTTGCCTACTGTTTTTGTAGGCATTGTTGAAAGAGTAGATTATTATTATCGGAGTGAGGGGCTGTTGGGGGAACTACAAAAAATCGGTCCCACTTACCTGGTCTAAAGAGATTACTCAAAAGATTTGAAGAAGTGGGAATTCTAGAGGGACGAGGACGGGAGGAAGGGGGGGTGATGTGGCGTGAGGTTGTATTGTGGGGGTGTGGACAATAAGGTTGAAGAGTTGTAATAAAGGAGGATGAGGTAGAACGTGAAGATAATTGTTGAGGTGGGGGGTGGAAGATGTTGGGAGTGAGGATGAGATGTATTTTAAGTAGTGAGTTAAAGCCTGAGTAGATGATTCGGGATGGGTCAAGTTGGCAGCATGTGTAGAAGAAGGTGTACTAATAGTGGTCGGAGCCGTGGTCAAAGGGAAATCAGGGTCGATAAACTAAAGGAGTTAGATTCAAAGAGGCTAGGTGACAAAAGAGCAAGCCTCAATACCCCTGAGGATAATAAGGATACAAAATCTTCATTACTGGCCGTGGTAAGCCTGACGTGTTGGGAAGGTAAAAAGGTCCACTCCCAGGGTCCCCATAAGGGGTAAGGGCTAAATGATTCACCAAGGCCGTTCAGGACTGGCACAAGGTCAGCCTTTCACCCTTACAACACGGCTCATATATCTTAGGAATTGGATAGAAGGTCCATGTATTGGGCCTCAGTCGCCGTCTCCTAAGCCCCCCCCCCCCTATTGGTTTAACGGCAAGATAACTCGTTTTCTAAACAATATCCATGCCAAAAAAAAAAAAAAAAAAAATATATTATTTATATATAATAATTATATATATAATATATATATATATATATATATATTATATATATATATATATATATATATATATATATATATATATATATATATATATATTATTCTTTAAGGACGGAAATCCTATAACTAGAAAATTTATTCATTTATCAAAAAAAAAAAAAAAAAATCTGTGCCGTATGGAAGATTTTTTTCTGTTCATAATGAGGTTTGTGGAATCCCAGAATTGATATTTAATGGTCAAAGGTCATACAGTACTATGATCAAGTATTGCAGCAAAAAGGGTAAAATGAGGTAGCAATTAGGACAAAGTGTGTTAATGTTAAAGTCTGTAGAGCGTTGTAGGTTAGCATGGTAGTGAAAAGGGTAAAGAGAGAAGAGCAAACGGAGTAGCAAGGCTCTTCAGGGCTGACACAAAGCCAACCTTTCATCCTTGTGAGGTGATCTATATTGGTTGAATTCTTAGTGAGCTGTGAATAACACCTCCAATAGTGATAACCGATGTGGCTGAATGAATTCTGGTGGTCAATAGTGATGATGTGGTCACGATACACCGATGTGGCTGAACACTTTATAATAACACACAAATGGAAGGAACACGATACGACTCTTGGTGCTGGTGGCCGGCCTACCTGCCAGAGAGGCGGTACGGCCAGTGGCGGGCGTGAGGATAATATGGTAGTGAAAAGGGAAAAAGGGGGAGTAGTGAACTAGAGTAGAGATTAGTAGAAAGGGGGAGGGGTTAAGGAGGGCGGGCAATTGAGTAAATTATAGTGTATCTGTCACTGGGGAAGGTATAGGAAAAATGTCAAGGACAAATAAAGTGCTGTTGGAAAAGTAGGAGAATATCAACGGAGAGAGGGTGTTAGATGTCAAAGATTAGAGGGTGGTATAGGAAGGTTTGATAACGAAAAGGGAAAAGAGGGAAGTAAATGAAATAGAGCAGGGATTAGTAAAATGGAAAAGGTTAAGGGGGTAGGGTGATTGAGTGAATTGTATTGTATCTGTGAATTATCAGGAAGAATGTCTGGAGGGGAGTGGCTAGAGAAGGACATTGTTGTGATAGAGGGGATTATGTGAGTATTCAAGTGGGAGCGGTAGAGAGGGTGGGGTATGTTTGGAGGGTGTTGGGATATCTGCAAATACTTTAAATGTAGGAGTAGGAACAGGGATTGTGAGGTGGGTGAGGGAGTGGAGTGTTCCTTTGGGTCATTTTTAGGAAGTTTTGGATGTCTTCAAGGGTTTCTGGATGGTGGAGTTGGGTGAAGACGATTGAGAAACAAAGGTTCTCGTGTGAGGACCTTTGTTGTAAAGAGAAGAGGGGATAGATATCTGAGGAGAAGAGGAGGAAGGTATAGAGGAGGATGTAGTAGGAGAGGGTGGAGTGGAACGACAAATAAAGTGATGAGGAGGGGTAGGTATCGGGGAAGTGGTAAAGATTGGAGTATCTGGATTTAGAATGGAAAATGAATTTGACTGGGGGATAGGGTGAGTAGACGTAGGATGGTTTAGGGTATAGGGGAGAGATACCTGGGGAGATGCAGAAATATATTTTGAAGATGGTGGGGGAGCAGAGCAAAGAATTGTTTTGTAATTAGTTGAGAAAAACCTCGTTGTGCTTCTTGTCTGGCCTCACGTAGAGTGAGGTCTAGTTTAAATCTGAGGACTGGTACCTCATATTCGAGCTTATAGGCAGGGCAGCTCCTATAAAATACATTCTGGGAGTCTCTACAAGCACGGCAATTTGAATGGTTATGACTTGGTTGGGGACGTAGAGGGCAGCAGGCTGTGGAGCGACAATGTTTGGCAAGGTGGCCAAAACGCCAACATTATTGACATTGACGATATGGTCAGCCATAAAACAATCCACCAATATACACCTCATGGGGGATGTCTTGCAAAGCTAATCTTTGCAATATTGACGTCGGATTTACGCTGGCTTGGGAGGATTAGTGTAACACTGTACTGCCACTGCATCATATTCAGCAAGACAGGTAAGCAGGTCATTTTCACAGTCTGACCAGTCCTTGTTGTAGATAGGACAAGCATTTGGGGGGATAGAAGCATTTCCAGTACAAATATTAAGAGAGGGTTGAGGTTTGGCAGGAATGGGTTTGGCAGTAAGGTCAATTAGGGTAGATAGTGTATGAGCTTGGGATTCAGATGTAACTATGACTGCGAAAAGTAACCCTGCCTACTTGTTTCTGCTGAAAGAGAAGGGTATTTTCAGAATAGGGGGATGTGGGGGGAATCACAAAGAATCGATCCCACTTATCTGGGCCAAAGAGTGTACTCAGACGGTTTGCCGAGGTAGAGACAGTATAAGGACGGGGGCGAAGGTTTGCTGAGGTAGAGGCAGTAGAAGGACGAAGGCGAGAGGATGATGGGATGGTGTGGAGTGGGATAGTTCTGCGGGTGGGAGGACAACATGGAGGAAGAGTAGTATTAAGGGAAGAGGGTGTATACACTGAAGAGGACTGTGCGGCATGAGATGGAAAGGAGAGTGTTGGGAGAGAGGAAGGGATGTTTTCTGTGGGTTGAGTAATAGCTGGGTGGGTGTTTTGGAGTGGTTAAAGTTATTCATAAGCGGTGAAGAGGGGATATTAGTATCAGTGGTCGGAGCTGTGGTCAAAGGAGGGGCAGGGGTCTGAAAACCTTCAAAGTAAAGGGCCAAGCCTTAATGTCCCTATTAAGGGTAAAGAATTTTCATTATTTGTCGTGGTGAGCCTGAAGAAAATGAGGAAAAGAAACGGCCTATCCCTCAGGGACCCCATAAGGGGTAAGGGATAGGCAATTAACCAGGGGAATACCGTGCCCATAGCTCCCAGATGCCGTTCGTGACTGATACAAAGCCAGCCTTTCATCCTTTCAGCATGGCTCTAACACCTTAGGAAGGGGATAGAAGATACGGAAGAGGAGAGGAGAGGAGAGAAGAAAAGACCAAGCAAAATTAGTTGACGAGGGTTGAGGCCCAAGGAAAGGGTGGTCCCCTACCTTGGGCCTCAGTCTTCGTCTCCTAAGCCCCATGGCAACAACGAGCAAGGTATTGGGAAGGATTAAGTGTTGTTTTCCAGGAGTCTTTTCCAAATGTGGCATTTATTTTCTTTAACTCACACAATAAATTATTATTATTTTATTATTTATCTATTTTTTAAGGCGTCTTTTGAGTGGACATAATCCGAGGAATCTTGAACTCCCAGTAAAAAAAGACATACTATGAGATTTTATTCTTTTAATTTTAAGAATAGACAGAATATCAAGAATAGCAATGTGGATATGGAAGATATATCTACCACTTACAAAATGGGATCTCATAAAAAATATGCTTTATAAAAACACTGGTTGAAAGATGTGTTCCATTTCTTGGTATTATGAACAGTATTTTCATACTTTATACTGGTTATTTAATATACATTTGTAATCAATTAGATTTTTGCAACAAAAACTTGGCTTATGAGCAGGAGAATCTGACAATTTTTTTTTCTTTAAACTATACATTGACCTACTCCCCATCATTCATCTATTTGAACCCTTCTGAAAACTCTACACCAGTTTTCCAGCAGATATGTTGTGAATCATGTCTTGAATGCGCTTCAACTCTCTGAATTTCCTTGTCATTTCTTCCAGCTGACTCTCCTTCTCAGTCAGGGTCTTCTCATGGCTGCTAATAATCAGCTCAAGCTCCGAATTCTGGAAGAAGTCAAAATTAGGTTCTAGGACTAAATACGACACTGAGGTGAATGTTTAGTTATGAAACCATTTTTTTCGCTACAATATATGTTTTTTTACAACAGCCTTCCATAAGCAGATAGCTATTACTCAGTCAGCCTCAAGAAAATTAGCCATACCTCCTCCTTCATCTGACCCTGAACTTTCTCGAGTTTTGCTATCTCCTTCTGTAAGTTGTCATGATCTCTTCGTTCTTTCTTCAGTTCATCATCTAGCTTCTGATTGCACTCTTGCAGTTCTGCAAAGGAGGAAAATAATTTAAATGCACTCCTTCACTCAGAAAGTACATATATATATACCATCTTAGGAATTTACATAATTCGACTAAATCTGTCAATAAAAAGTAAAAAGAAAAAGAAATTAAAGAAAAATCAGTATTTAGCATAGCAAAACTATTATTTTATAAAAAGCCTTAAAGCTATTTTCTTAAAACACCTACATGCTTCCTTTCACACTTGCTGCCCCCGCGAAAAAAAAGAGACCATATAACAAGCTGGAAAAGAAATCACATTTCTGGCTGACAAATGCCAAATTCTGTAACTCTCTTACGCTAATCTTTAATCTGTATATCCTTTCATTCATAAAACAAAAACCATGTTAAATCATTGTGCAACTCACTGCAGCATTTCTGATTCCTTTTCCATCTGCTTATAGAGAAAGCTATTCTTGTCACCTACATATTTTCAGTCATAAACCAATCTTCATAATCATTACCACTCACTGTGGTATTTCTCCTGTTCCTCCTTAATATGCTTATGAAGATTCTTGATGTCACTCTGTACATCGCTCAACATCCTCTGGGACTTGCGGATTATCTCGTCGCGGGTATCAAGCTCTGATCTCAAAGCTGACATCTCCTTCTGCAGCTTAGAATTTTGCCTGTCCATGGCTGTCTTTTCCTGAGTGGTGAAGAAAATGGTGATGACGGATGAATAGGTGAAGTGAGGGTTATGAAACATTCTCATTAAACAACTCTTTTCTATTCTGGCACAAATCCAACTTTTTTTTTTTTTTTTTTTTTTTTTTTTTTTTACATACCTTCACCAAATTCTCTCTCAATTGTCTGGCCGAGTTCTGTACTTGGGAAATGGTTGCTTGAAGTGCATTCTTGTCCTTCTGAGATGCTTCGAGTTTCTGTTTCCACATGTGCAGAAGACTTTGCAGGTGGTCATTCTATTGTACAAATTAACTATAAATATCAAAATAACAAAAAATTATGAAAAAAGTCCCACAAAGGCTAGATATATGACCAAAGCACACTGAGCAGCCTCGGGCACCCAAACGGCGATACTGCATCTCGATATCAGTATAGCAGCACTTGAATGAGGCTTTGAAAAAGAGATTTGTATTTTTTTTGAAAAGAAAAGAAAAGAAAAGAAAGAAAAGAAAAGAAAAGAAAAGAAAAGAAAAGAAAAAAAGAAATATATATATATGCATAGAAAAACACTCTACCGTGTTGATACTATGGTAGAAACAACCCACAATGCACAAACTAGATTTATTGAGGAAAGTGAGATAACACTCGGAATCGTCCTCTATTCCATCTTCGGGTCTGAGGAGGGAAAGTTCAGTTCAGTTCAGTTAGATTTGCGAAGTCATGCTTCGCCCGGGCCTTTTCTCTGGAGTGGCCCGGCCTGTGTTAACTATTTCTGGTTAACTCAAGTGGTTTCTTTGAACTGCATGTTCATCGTGGTGGCTGAATTGCGAGCAAGCGATCCAGCTGCTACGGAGTAAGGAGGGAAGGGAGAGGAAGCGGTATAAGAGGGAAGGGAGGAGAAGCACTCGGGGAACACGGGGCAGGTGAGGACAGGAGAACGGAAGCGAAGGGAGGTCAGGTCAGGTGGAGAGAGGAAACAAAGCACCACGGGAGACATGGGGTAGGTGAGGACAGGAGACACAAAGCTAAGGTGGCTCAGGTCAGGTCGAAGGATCAGGCGATCTATGTGACGGGTGACCGGCATAAGGAAGGAGACGAAGGATATGGGAAGCGAGGAGGCTGTCAGCAAGAGAAAAACGGTTAAACGAAATCTTCTCTTGTTCCTGTTTGCCTCCTTCCCCGACTTGGTTCCTGCCTTTCGTGCTTTTGAGGATTCCGTCATCGCCATGGCCCGACGGAAGAATCAACTACGTTTCCTCCGGGACTGTCTCGAGGAGTAGGTGCTCCCTTCCTCGATCGGCAATCTCTTGAAGCACTCGGATAAAGGATCTCCTTTTCTGATTATGCTCGTTCCCTCCTCCTTAAACGGATCCGCGCTGGTAAGAGGGATGTCGAATATTCCTACTATCGCTCGCGGGTACGTTCTGACCTCCTGAAGGAACGACTCCCCGGACATGTCTTCCAGCTCTTAGCCGACGTGGCCCACGATTCTTCCCGGTTCCTCTCCACTACCCATGTCCGCTCCCTCTCCCAGAAACTCTCTAACCTCACCTCCTGAAGTCCCTGGTCCCGCTTCTCCCTCAACGACGCGGTTACCAACCTTTCCTCCCTGTCCTTGGCCCATCACCAAACAACTCCTTGGCTTCGGTCTTTCCTTTGCTCTCTGCCCTCTCCCCTTACCTCCATTGACATCTTTTCTTCCTTTGAACGGTTCATCTCCGCTCATAGGAACTCCTTGCCTGATGTCTCCCTCCTTCGTGGGGCCTTCTTTCCGGCCCTCGAGTCCCTCCTTCACCCCAACCCTTCCATCTCCAGGCGTTACCGCGAGGCCCTTCACAGCCTGCGCAGGGAGGATGTCACTATTTTGCCTTCTGACAAAGGTAACTCGGTGGTGGTCCTCGACCGAGCCTCCTACCTCCAGAAGGCCCAGGGCCTGTTAGGTGACGCCTCCACCTATGCCCCCTGACCAGTGACCCTCGGGAACGCATTGCTGCCACTTTCCACCGTCGTCTGAGAGCTTGCAGCCTGTTTCCCGGAGGCAAACCTTTAACAGAGGTTCAAGGTCGTCAACCCTCGCCTCCCTCATTTCTATGGACTTCCTAAAACCCATAAGCCGGCCGTGCCTCTACGCCCCATCATCTCCTCCCGGGGATCGGTGACGCATCCTCTGGCGGCTTGGTTGGCTAAGTCTCTCACTCCCCTTCTTGGCACCTTCTCTCCTGCTCACCTTCGCCATTCACAGGACTTCATCTCCCGTGTCCGCGGTGTCCCGCCGGCGTCCATGCTGAGCCTGGATGTCGACTCCCTGTTCACCAAGGTCCCGCTTGATGACGTCCTCGCTTTCCTTCAGAGGAAGCTCCCTGCCGAGGATCCTCGTCTTCCTCTTCCCACCGAAATCTTCCTCCAGCTGATTCGTCTGTGTGTGGAGTCGAATTCCTTCTCCGAAGGGTCGTTTCTACTCACAACGTTGTTGTTGCAATGGGTCTCCCTTGTTCTGGCTAACCTGTACATGGAGTTCTTCGAGTCGGAGCTCCTCCCTTTCATCTCCCCTCGTCCTTCCTTCCATGTGGCTGAGATTGTCGGACGTCTTCGCTCTCTGGCCTCATGACCCTGCCCTGTTTCCTGTCGCAGCTGAATTCTCTCTCTCCTTCCATTCGTTTCAAGGTGGAATGGGAGGTTGAAGACAAGCTCCCCTTTTCTATATACAGGAAACCTATGCACAGTGGTATGCACTTACACTTCTCGTACCATCCACTGCATGTTAAGAGAGGGGTTGCCACCTCGCTGTTTCTTCGTGCCCTCCGCATCTGTGACCCCCAGTATCTGGATGGAGAGATCGACTTCCTTCGTCGTTCGTTCTCCAAACTGGGCTACCCCCGCCATGTCCTTGACGTCGCGTTATCCAGGGCGCGGCGTACCTTCTCCATTACTTCCAATGAGTCTCTCCCCCTGTCCTCAACTGCAGACTCTCCTTTGCTCTCCGTCTCCGTTTGGTTCACACCTGCCCTCCCTCTACCTCGAAGGTGGGCACCTATGCTGTTCCGTGTGCCTCCTGTGATAAGCAGTATTTTGGTGAAACAGGCGCCAGTCTTACTAAGCGTCTGTCTCATCATAAGTACGCTGTGTCCAGGCAACAACGGCCTCTTCTGCCATCAGTGGGACACTGGCCATCAGATGGACTGGAAAGCAGCACACATTCTCTTCCCTTCCGCTGATGTCCATGCCCGCAGACTGGTGGAATCTTCTCTGATTAAGCTGCTGCCCAATTTCAACTTGAACAGCGGTTTTTCTCCTGCCGATAGCCTCCTCGCTTTCCACATCCTTCGTCTCCTCCCTTATGCCGGTCACCCGTCACATAGACCGCCTGATCCTTCGACCTGACTTGACCCCCTCGCTTCGTGTCTCCTGTCGCTGCACCTGTCCCGTGTCTCCGTGGTGCTTGCTGGCGGTCAAATGATCACGAACCAATCAATAACTCTAGGTGTATTATTTGGACAAGAGCTGAGTCGAGGGAGAGTTATAGATTGTGAGTAATGTGTTGGATCATTTATGCCGGGTTAGGGCATTGAGGCAGATCAATTCTCGTGATCGATATAAATTAATCAGCACGATATCATCATAAATCGAGATGTTACTGAATTGCAAGATTGAGACACCTGTTGGGCTTATCTGTGGGATACCGTTACATATGATGAGCTTGAATGTAAACGTCTTGAATTTGACTAGTTAAAAGGTGAATAGGATGTTTGTAGTTGGATTTAATTATTTCCAGTCGGGATAGTAAAGGGAAGACAGGAGTATCAGGTGAAATTCCAGTTATCCTGGACAGGAGAAATATAGATAGGTAAGAATGACCACTTAAGATGATGGGGTCTGTAAAAAATAATGTAATTTGGGGTCGGGCATGAGAAATGGTCTGCCGATCTGACAGTGGGGATGATCATCATGGATCCATGAAATCTGCAACTACCTTTTTCATCTATCTTTCCATGTTTATTTTCTCCCCTCTATTTTATCACATCACATATTGTCATCCTTATCATTGATTGCGGGTATGAAAGAATCTCTGGTTCTCTTTAGTATAGTAAGGGTGACTAAGGTAAAGATTTATCTGGTATGGTAGTTAGTATTC